CAAAAAAAATGTATTGAAAAATTAAGAAATTAATTTCTTAATTTTTTCCTTTCTAAAAAAGATAATATATAAAATTTTGAAATTTTTAAATATAGCATTCATAGAAAGATAGACAGTTATCATAAAAAAAAAAAAAAAAATAAGAATATACGAAAAAGCTTAAATTACCTCCTAATGAATGATACGTCACCATAACCTTATTAGGAATATTTATGAAACTTCATATTACACGATTGTTTCACATCACAATAATAATAAAAAAATTTTAATTCACTTATAACCTATAAATGAAATTCTTCGTAAAAAATGATTTTATAATACACGGATAATTCTCATTCAGAACATTGATTTAAAAAACTGAATTCATTCTATTCGCGTGGGAACAACGGTATCCAAGATAAATTTCGATATTTTACAAGTAGAACAGTCGATTCTGTCTCACGAGCGCAACAATTCCACCAGAAAACAATGTTGGAGAGCAACGGCAGCAGTCATTCGTTCGACACACGTCTCTAGCAACAAGTGTTTGTCGTGGTTGTCCATCGGTAACGAAGCCCATATTAGTGTTCGTGGCGGTATTCTGTCTGGAGGGAAACGCATTCCCAACGGTCTTTGATCCTACGCGAATTCAATTTCAACACTGACCTAGCGTATCATCGTTTGATTTGATTGACGTTTTATCAGCTCGAAATGACTATACTTCTTGGAATAACGTCTATGATGAAAATCTAACGACTTCAAAACAACTTCGATGATATCAAGAAGCAAGAATCTTCAATTTTAAAATTACGTTTATATTTCGTCAAGTTTCTGTCAAATTCGTCGTAGCCGTTATGTGTCGAATTACTGACTACCATCTATCGACCTATCTATGAAGTTTCGACGTAACAGAGGGGAAACTCGGGAAAACTGGTTCTCACACTTGGCTAGACTCAATTTCACCTTGAACTACACTGACCTAAATCACTGGTATTGTTCATCGTCACATTTTCGACCGCACGAATCGTTTTTTCGTTCGCTGATTAACGAAACGAGATATTTAGCTCTTCGATATTTATCTCGTCTCGATCAAAAATTAAACTTATCGATTGAACATCAATTATTATTTCAATATTATTCGAAAATAATACGAAAGTTTTCCTTCAGGATTGATTTCAGATCCTGATTTAGATCCGTTCGAGGCAAAAATGTCAAAGTCGGGGGGGAGGGCGAAAATTTCGCTCGTGTTGTGGACGACACCAGCGCGGTCGCTCGTTGCGAACTGGATCGGCTTTCAAGCCGGCAGACACGTTGTGCGGAATTTACGGCGCATCGCGCCTGTATGCGCGCGCGACATAACCATTGCAATTTTACAGACTTTCTGTTTCTCTCTCCCTGGGAAAGTCACGTGCGCCGCGTGAATCTTCATTTACGTCGATTATTATTCTGTCATCTTAATCCTGTGTGCAATCTTTCGTCACTTCGAAGGACCCGGAAAAAAATTTATGTCAACATGGATTACGGTCAATGAAAGGAGAATTATGGAAGTTGTTTGACCAAGGGTGAATATGATTGATCGATGTATCCTATCCGTATTATTAACATCGTGATACTCTTAAGTTTATTTTGCGCACCTTATATTTTACGAATGTTCCATAGCTTTTTCGAAAATTGTGAAAAAATTCAGATTTATTTATCGACATCTATAGTATGTAATTTTATGGTTCTTTTATTAATAAGGAAAATAGAGTATGCGAATCATTATCGATCAGAATAATTTTTATAAAAAAAAATTACATAAACAATTTTTAACATTCTATTTACTTTTTTTAATTCGTTATCAATATTGTTTACTCTTTGACATAAAATGTAAATGACCGCGTTTCGATACTTTTAAATAAGGATAAAAATATAATTCTTATAACTACACGATAAAAAGAATTTCTTTGTGTACAAAAATCAATTTACGATAGACTCTCGAGATAATTCCACGAATTATATCTGAATCGATCTGACTATCAACAAATTCGCAAAAAAACTTCGGTTACTTCTTTGCTGTTATCCACCGTGTACTTAACGTGTATAATTTGCATGATAAGGCTCGTTCGTATCGCGGCCCCTTTTAGATGTTTCGCGAAGGAAAAAAAGAAATAGAAACAATTTGCAATGTGCAAAGCTGTGGATCAGTGGTGGCATCGTTTGCTCAAAACATAAAATACAGTCGATTGTTCACGGTTCAATTACTCTACATAGGGAAAGCATTTCAACGACGCTTAGATAATCGATATTCAATCACACTTGCGAAACAGCCTTTACGCGAACTGTTACAATGGCCGTTTTACCGCGAAACTTAGTGTTCGTTACGTAACTAATAAATTTTATGATAGAGAAATTTTCTCTTTTTTAAATATTTAAATCTAATTAAAAAATTATTGATCTTTTTTTATTTTATATGTCAAAGTATTTAATTGCTGTTTTATTCATACCTTTAAATATTGTTATGGCCATTCCGATGAAAATCATTTTAATTGAATATCATTAATTAAAATTTGCTTAGAAATTAAATTTCAATTCCTAAATTTTATAATTCAATTTTTATGAACAAATTGTAAACAAATCTATATAAATATATCTTTGACTGCTATACATGTTAAATATTATACATGTTCTCTACTTGTTTTCTATTCTACGGTTATTTTTTTGTTAAAAAAAAAATGAATTCCAAGAATTTTAAACTAACAAATTACTTGAAATTACCTGAAAAAAAACTATTTATACTGAGATTGCAACATGCATACGACCTTTAGATACGTTCTCCGTATAGAAGTGTAACCGCTTTTTATCTTGTGCAGTCGTTCAACTATGGTAACTCTGGCGATAAGACTTTAGATAAGCTTAGGAGCATGTGCTCATAAATGTAACGTGAATAAGAGAAAGTACTAAAAACTAGAAATTTATTCTTAAATCTTTCAAGAATCTTTCAAGAATTTTAAGAAAATAAGGAATTCGAAAAAAACTTAAAAATTGTTGAATGTAAATAAAAACATAAAGAAAACGAAAAAAATAAGATAAATAAGAAAAATAGAATCAAGAAAAAAGAGTGAAAAATAAGTGTTTTATACACTCAATATTATTTTTTTAAATTTATTTGTAAATGTATTTATCACTTTAACTTCGAATCTTCACGCATTCTTGACAAAGATCCAAAAATGTATCTTAACTAATCATAAAAATTTCGATTAATCCGCGTTTAAAATTATAATAGTATTTCAATAAATAAATATATTCCTTTATATGTTCCTTGAATGTAAAGATAAATCGTTTATTGAAATATTTTTTCGCGTATGCAAAATTGAAAAATTACTAAAATATCATCTGATGATAACTGACAAAGTTATGAAGTTCCGAAAATCTTGATAGTTTGCCAAAATCTGTCAATTCAAGTTTGTTTTATAATTTTAAGAAAATTTAAATAGAATCAAATCGTAGACATGTATAAATTATATATTATGTATATACTAATTATATACTATGTATATAAAGATTATGTAAATTTGTAAACAAAAATAAAATAACTGATATAAAAAGTCAATAACATATTAAATTCAATATAAAAAATTGTAATAAATTGTTAATATTTTATTAAATTCAATAGTAAAAAATTTTACTATTTTTTACATTCAACAATTCGAATAAATTAGATCAACAGAGTTTCGCATTATGGCATATAATTATCAATGTTTTTATATTGATAATTATAAATTCTTTTATTTTGTATGAAAGCTTTATTGTGAAACAAATTTAATAACCTATTTCCTAGTTATAATTAATAAAACAATGTTTCGATGATTGTAAATATAATCAAATTTTATATTTTATTTTCTATAATCATAATGTTGGAAATGACATTAAAATAATAAAGAACATTTGGCGCCACCAAACAGCAAAACAGGAGAGAGTGAAAACCAACTGCCAATACGAGTTGATAATATAGAGAAAATGCTTTATCATTTAAGAAACGTTCTACATTTCCATCTTTACCGACTGTCAAATAAATTTTACCGACCATTACAACTGGATCAATTCGTTTGTATCTTTAATGATGGAAAAAAAAAATATGCAACGAATACTAATTTATTAAATTGAATTTACTATAATGATTTATAATTAGAAACGTAAATAAAAAAAATAATCTATTTTTATGGTATGGAGAACAACTATAAAAAAAATTACTTTTTTTTATATGATTTAACTGAATCTCTCTCTTAGTTTTCAGTTTTCATCATGACCTACATCCTCTTGCGTTTCATCAAATCGATATGTACAAACAGTGTACATACAATAAATTGTTAGAACGAAAAAATAAGTAGTTTAAAACATTTTGCTTATATTTCCTTTATTACCGATTAAGAATTGTATTGTTATTCGTGCGAAAATCATAGAGTAAAAATAATGCAGATATGCAACATGATAAAAATATTACTTATCATTGAGTTGTAAACAAGAAATATCTCGGAATTTGTGATAATTGATAAATGTGATGCATCATAAAGTTTACTGTCATCAAAATCAATGACAAAAAAGTAAAAGAGATATTTGTATACATATAATGTGTTTATATTATTTTAAATAATAACTTAAAAGCACACAACAAAGTAAACAACAACTAAAAACATAAATATCGATTGTCAGTACTTCAAAAAAGTCCTATCAAAAATATAAAAATCAATATTTTTGTATTGAAATATGTATACATTTAATTGAAACATTTTTATTAACTCAATAAAATAAAAAATATGTTTAAAAATTAAATAAAATTATTTTTCAAAATTGCATTACTTTCACAATATATTCCATATGTTTTAGCTATATAGAACATTCTATGTAATATTTGTTTTCAATGATATTAAAAATAACGATGTCTTATTAAATTTTTCAATATTTACGCAGCATTATAGGACTGAAGTATTTGCTAAATTTAAAAACTTTGGGTTTAATCGAAGGTTAAAGTTAATACTCACCCCTCTCGCATCTCGGAAGAGAATGGCGGCGTGCACAGGATCTAGACAAGCATCTGAAGCTCTATGAGGGACGGCAGGTGTACCCAAAGAAAATCTTCTGGCACCTGGATCCAAAGAACTCCTTCTAAGCGCTCCTATAATTTAAAATTCATAATTTATAATTAACACCTCATTTGTCTAATGCAATCCAATTATTAATATTATAAAATCGAGTATCTGATATAAAAATGGTAATGCATCTACATTTTAATGAATCTAAAAAGAAAAATATATTTCAAAGAATGTCCATATATATCTAAATAATTATAATGTTTATATATAATATATAAATAATATACAATATATAATTAATAAATATCTATCGTCATATTATTATAAAATATTATTGACTTCAATGATATATAGGTTATAGTATTATAGGTTATAGTATTATTATTATCCTACAAACTTTTATATTTAAATTGTTACAGAAAATATTGTGACCCAATTCGTTTATATATTATTACACGTATGGTTAGTAGATATGTAAATTGAGTTTATCGTAACCCATATATAATTCATCGAATATCGAATACCTGTTAGACATTTTTTTTCCTGACAAATACATCCTCACCGGTTGACCATGATGGTAGTTAATTTGAACGGGAATTACAACACTGACCTTAACTCGTTACAATTTAACACAATTTATGAGCATACGTGCACAATCTTCCATGGGGTTACGTAAAATGTAATTCCTTATTTACATTTCAATTGCAATCCACGTTCAAACACGCTCATGTGTCTCCATGATTTATCTTATACTTTTCCAACCTCACTTTTTTCTATTCGAAATAAGTGTAATACTTTTACAATAATTCATATGTTAAACCTTTATTGAAAATACTTTTCAATAAATGATATTAGAATTGTTCATTTTGATTTAGAAAAAAACACGTTTATCAATGATTAATATTATCGCATAAATAGAATGCAAAAATGTTTTACTTATTATTTTGGCAAAAAGAAAACGATATATTAAGCATTTATTAAACACTTGTTGTTAATTATTTAACGTGAATATTTTTTAATTTTTTTAATATTAACACATTTGCGAATAAATTAATAACTTAAAATTTGAATTTTATTTTAATATTTTAATATTGAAATTTTTTAAAACAAATTATATTTAAATAAATTATTTTCAAAAATTGTATATAATTTATTATTAATTTATATATTTTTATAACTAACAATTCAACTTACACTATTTATATAAAAAAAACGAATCGGTTTAGTACGTACCTTTCTAATAGCGAAAGAAAGATCATTCTAACCTATATATTCTTTACAAGAAAACAATAACCTTTCATGTGATACAAAGTATCTGATTTCTGTTTCGAGTTATATCACGTTTGCATTCCTCGTAATACGAAAAACAAAAGATTCAAATTCTGCACGTTCTTGCAGTTTCGACGGTGTTAAGAACGTGAAGGTTTCCGACCATGTGTTCTGCAAAATAAACTTTTTCTCGGTTGAAGAACGTCGAACGTGTAGTATTACAGCGCCATGGTAGACCGGAATTCACTATCCAATTGCACGCTATCCTTCGTTTTCATTGCATTCGAATATTTTATCGTATACAAAAAATTGACGTATTTAAACAATTTATATGGTAAAATTCAATACGGAAAATAAATTTTTTGATGTTATTAATTAATATATAAGAATATTGATAATTTTTCACGTGTCTTAATTTTCATAATTGAATTGTGAATTGTAAATATTTTGATTTTACAAGTACGTTCTTCTATTATATGCAGTATAGGAAAAAATTTTTGAAATAGAAAAATAGGAAAATTGAGTTTGGAAATTTTTTTATTACATTTAATACTCATATTTATTCAGATGATATTTCATCTCATTATTATTTAATTGATATTCTCGATTAATTTTACCTTGAATAAATTTAATCTTTTTTGTCTTAATACTTTTTTTTTATTTTTTTGGGTATTAAATAATATTTGCATTTTATACGTATTTATATTTCTTTAATTTTACATAAATGCATGAACATTCGTAATCTATTGACGATACACTTTTTTTTATCACGTTTAGGTGAAAAGGCCTAGTAAAATTATAGAGATAGAAATCTCAAACGAAATCGAAATTCTGCTTTTAAAACAGAATTTATTTGTTCTCGCAGAGAGACGAAAAAAGATATTCAAGCCACAAAGATACTTTGCCGCTTTAAATATCATCAAATAAGTTGAATGAAAAGAAAGCGAAAAGAAAGCGAAAAGAAAGCGAAATAAATGCGGATAAAATTTTTAAATAACAAATAAATCATTAAAATTTATCGTTTGATAAATATTGCAAAGAATCTACTCGATTTCGAAAAGAAAAGAAATTGCAATTTTTATTAATTCAAGTGAAAGATCAAAAAATTAATGAAGCCGTGTTCTATACAGAAAATAGTGAATAGTGAAAATTTTTACATATTCGAGAAATCAGTCTTTCCTATCATTGCCTGAATTATTGCCGAGTTCTCGAAAGGTTAAATCTATCTGAAAGCTTAGAGAGAGAGATGAAGGAGTTTAATATCGTGATTATTTGCATTGTACTGTCAAGGTAAGAAATCTTGTTGAAACAATAGGATACAATAGAACACCCATTATTTCTTTCATCTCCATTTCTAATGTATTCAAGTCTTTCCCCACTACCACCATTACTTTTCCCTCACTTCTCTAGTGGCGATTACTCGTAAAATTCGTTTTCTCGTTGCAAAGATAGGCGACGTATAACGTATCCGCAATAATATTCGCTTCCTCAGCTTGAAACGATAGCCTTATATCCTCGGTTTATCGTGATTGTTTATTTCTCTGGCGCATTCTCGTCTACGCAGTCAATGACAGGCGCCACGGATGACAGACTCTTCGTCAATGATAGGTCAAAAGAATATCGATATATTACACATTGTTACGAGTTGTGAGATTTCGAAAATCGCGCAGTCGTCCATTATCATTTTTTTTTATCGTGGATATGAATTTGAAAATGAAATGGATAGCGCGGAAATTTAGTAATTAAATTTAGTAATTAATTAAATAAATAAATAATTATTTACTTAGAATAATTTTAAGAATTATAAAATTATATTAATAATATTATTGTTATATTATTATTAATTATTAAAAATCTCAAAAATTATATGATTGAATATTAACCTGAATTTGATGATCAACTTTATAAGAAAATTTTCGAATATTAAATTTTTCAAAAGATTGCGGTCGAAAAAGTTCAAATTGATTAGAGCAATGGCTCGAAAGTTGGGGAAGCTCGAGTCAAATTCCGGATGAATAGACAAATAGGTTAATTCTTTTTATTCATGAAATTTTCAGAATATACTTTGAATAGAACATATAACTTTGTAAACATATAATTTTCTTCAAATATTTCCTTTTTTTTTTTTCGAATTCTTTAGAATCTTTAATATAATGAAAGAGAATTTTATAAGTTAAATTAAAATTGACAGCTCTGGTCAGATAAATTATAAAGAAAGTTCATCTATAACCTGAAATGATCAGTAATAATATAGATCGAAAATGAATTAATTTTTGAGATTATTTTAATAAATTTTTTTTGTTATCATTATTATATAATTCGAGACAATTTAATATATATATATTTTTGTATATTAATTTAATTCAAATACTCGATGGTATTAATTTTTTATATTTGTAATATTTTTGAGATAGAAAGGTGACCTTTAAATTTTACATATACTTTTTTTATCGAATATTTTTTATTTGGCGTAAATAATTTATTTTAATTAATCAAATTTTTTTTGGAGATATATACATTATGTACATGATTTTGAAAAAATATCTTGAGAGAAGACATTTTTTAAATGTGAAAGCTATTAATTTCGTAAAAAGATTTCTACAATCATTTTTTTAAAAAATGGAAAAACCAGGAAGATTTTTCAAAACTCTTCTATCGTATTTTTCGTAAAAAAAAAAAAAAGTTCAACTTGTATACAAATTTTTGAAAACAAATGACAATGGTTCACCTTGTTTTTCGATATCGTACCATGAATCATTAAAAAAAAAAAACTCTAGTTGCATTTTGCGAAAATAAAAAATAAAAATTGCAATAAAAAATAAATGTTCATAGAAACATAGATATAATCATATGTATTGCATAAAATTTATACAATATAGTCGCTGATGTCACTCTAAGAAAGAGATGATATTATGAAATATTTAGTCTTTTTTCTGTCCAAGACTCCCGGATTTATATTCCCTTTCGAGCGTCGCTGCTTCTCAAATAGCTAAAAACAGAATCCTCTCTGCCTCCGCGTCAAACGATACTTTTGCAAAACTTAGAAACTATTGACGTTAGAGCAAAGTTGTACATAAATAAGACATCTCTTTTCGTATATAGATAGATAAAAAAATAGATCTGAGGATTTTTTCAACTTTGAAACTTTCCAAGACTATAAATTTTTTTTAATATTTTTATAATTTTTCAAAATTACTTTTTTCTTTATTTTCAAAACTTCAAATTCAACGTTTGATTAATTAAATCTTTGAATTTTTAAAATTTTCAACTTCCATCTTCTATCTGAGCTTTTAAATAATTCAATTCCTATTTGATCTCATTAATTTTCAAATTTGTTGTAGATTTTTAATCTGAAGATTTTCAAGTTTAATTTTCTATTGAAATTTTTTCATCTTATTCCCGAATTTCCACACTATTTTCGAGTGAAGAATTTAAAAAAAAAAACATTTTCTAAAAACATTGACCGATCCCATTTGACGACTTTATCTTATTAAACCTTTGACAATCGATTATAACGTGAAGTCGAGTCCATTGATGCATCTATAGAATGCATTAATTATCATCATTTAAAGAAGTCAGTTAATTTATTTTAAGCAAGGAGAATTCAACATCGACCTTGTGGATCGTCGAGTCGATTCGAAGGGAACTGCGTCAATGGACTCGGTTGCAGCTGCAGCATGTAGTAAGTACAAGCAGGCGCGCACACATGTGCTTTATGAGAATAAACCCAACGAACGAACGAACGATTAATTTTATTCGCCATATTCTGGAGATATTGTTGGAGATATTACGAAACAAGATCGACTTTCTCCAA